GCTCATTATTTGTACAAAGGATAATATAAACCTGCTGATACAAAGTAGCATTGTCTCTACTGTGTATATGTGTACAGGAAAAATATCTGAAAAATTTAATTTGATTACTTAGATTGATAGCACTGACTCAAATTTTATATTACTATAATAGATTAATTATTTTGTTTTGCAAAAAATAATTTTTCTTGTTAGATGATGTTGGTCAACCCCCTCCACATAAGTCTTATCCTTCAGTTTCTCGTTTTGATGATGTAAGTGATGGTCAATCAAAATCATTTGATATTTTAGCAACTTCTAAAGAAAAGCAAAGGTAAATATTGATGTATCTTAATTAATTAATGATAATTTAAATAATTGATGATTATTTTATTATTTACTTCGAAGTATATCACTGAAACAATTTACTTTGTGAAACTACTGAATGTAGCATTGCCTTTTCACCCCATTGATTTACATAAATTAGGTATACCCTATAATTTTTCAAGAAAGTCTAACTTTGGTGAATTTGGCATTTCCTAAAATTAAAATCCTACATGCAAACAGGCTCCTAATGTAAATCACATCAAATGGGATGTGATGGGAGCCACAACTTACATGTACCTTTAGCAGGTATGCATCCTCTATATATCATTTGCATAATGTATAGTGTACATAGATTCATATCACCAGTACTCATGGTATAATGCAAAGTGGTTAAATTTGGTTCAATTCTAGCGTAAAGCATGTGTCATAATGTCAAATAAGTCACCCAAACTTTTGATTAAAAATTGATGGTACATTGACCTTGTAAGCCCGCCTTATGTTTCTGCTCCCTTATGTCTAGAAACAGCTCCCAAAGTTATTAAAATTTAATGGGCATTTTTCACTAGCTACAAAATAAGAAGATTATTTTTGTGAAATCGTTTTTTACAACCTGGAGCCGAAGCCTCCATAATGGTAGTCACTATTTTATGGGATGGGAAGAGACAATGTGTACATGCTAATTAACGGGGACAGGACAGAATACATTAGAATCATTCCTAATCTCATGATGTCGAAAGATGATATAGCCTGTATTAGGACAACTCAGACAATGCTCAATGGATATGGCTTCAAACATACACAGGTGGTGGGGATGAAAGATGATTTCCACCCAGAGCACATAACAAAATGATCCCTTGTTCAATTTGTAGCCATGGTCTCCAATAAATAACACTGTCAGCCAACCGGAGGCTCCCTCTCAGAGGAAATCTCAAAGAGACATGTTTGTTTAACAGAGGAATTGGAACCAACAGCAGAGACAGCTAGGAATATTTTTACACTGTTATGCTTGGTTACAATTTATGTAAAATGCTGTTCAGTGCATGTAGACATGAACTGCATCCACAAAATTTTGTTGAAATTTTTTGTGCCAGAATAATTATGGTATCTCAATTCTTTGATTTCAAAAAAGTTCTAATTAGCAACCTTCTAGTTAACAGCCCTGAAACTTTATTGCTTTTCCATTCTTTATTAAAATAAAATTAGTTATTCTAGTGCATATACGTAATTGAAATTAATTTGTAGCATCTAGACTGTATTAATAGAAATTATATTGTGAATTGTTCTTAATAGTACACTTCAAGATACATTATTTGAATTCAAACCATTGGATGATGGTGCAAAACTGGTAGTTGATAAAAACAATGAATCACAGCACCCACTGGATGAAGAAGTACCTCATCAGACAGATAATAGTGAGTTGCAGCTTTCATACACAGATTATCTGTTACCATCTCTTCCTTTAGCATCGTCTCCTCCTTTAACACCGTCTCCTCCTCTAATCATTGATAAAACATCTCATCATGATTCTGCTAATGAAGAAGGTGATATAAAGATGCATCCTCATTCTCATTCTAGTAAAATTTCATTTCCTTCAGTACCCCAATCAGTCCATAGAAGTGAGCCTCCTGCTAATAATGAAGACAAATCACCTGAGTTTTCTAAAAATGTGGTGCCTCCTATTCCCAGTAAAGAACCACTTCATTCCCAAAGCAGTAGTAATGCACTCGTTCCTTCTGGTACCAAATCTCTTACTCCTGGTATAGTAATTTTTTATTAATTGAATGTATTCTTGCATGTACATGTACTAGGTGAAGAGGAATATTGCCATATTTTGTCCCAATTCAAAGATGGTAAGTATCCTAAAATATTTAGGAATAGTATAATGATTATTATTACCATCACTATTAGGGTTAATTGTGTACTCTAATAATGAGTCTCACTTATATAGCATTGCTGAAGCACCTTTTCAATTTCATCAAAGTGAAAGATTGAAATCATTAGCTGGTACTTTTGACATATGCATTGGTGATAATACTAATACTGATCATGTTCGTTGTCATGACTTGAGGAAAGAAGATTTTCAATATCAAGTTTATGAGTCTAATAAACATTTAGTGGCTGTTCTTCTCATCAATTCTAAAGATACTCTTACGTTAGATCCTAAACTTTCTCTTGATAGCATAGTTATTAATGTTCCAGTATATGTTATTTCTCCTGCTCATGGTGATAAAATTATTGATGACATTAAGAATTTAAGCACTAGTAGCAGTGCTTGTCAGTGTAAATTTATATTTTCTGACTATGAGGAAGATGATGAGTCTGAAATTAAAAAAGGACATGGTAATTATGCAGATCTGATTGATTTTGTTTTATTCTTTATTTTCTAGTTTATAGTCAATTTCCAGACTCAAAAGTAGCAGGTATAATAATAGTATTTGGTCAATTTTTTTATTATAGGCTACTTATTATACAGTATCAAATGAACTTGTGCGTCACTTAAGAACTCTATTGTTTTCAAAGGAGAAACATGAGTTACTTACTATAGGCTCATTCCAAGTATTAATTAGTGCTTTTACCAGTTCAGAGTTAACCAAAGTATGTTTTAGTGCAGTTATATAATAATCATTTTTTCTTAATAGAGTTCTACAGATGTCATTGATGCTGTTAATGAACTAAATAATAATATCCATGCTGTTTATAATAAAGAATTTCTTTTTTTAATTGTTCTTATTTCTCAACTTAAATGGTACCTTTAAATGCACATCATTAACCTGACTCTTATATCATTTTTATGTTTTAGGCATAAAGCTAATAAAAGTAAAAAAGTCATTGATAAACTGAATGAAAATTTTCAACAGCTACTAATTAAATTGAATGTTGAGGATATTGCTGATATGGTAAAGAAATTTCATCAACGGTAATTTTAATTTTGAGACTTTTAAATTTTTACTTGTTTTAATTGTTTAGAGGAGACTTTAATGTCTCAGTGTGTGAAGGATCAGGGAGTCGGAGTGTATTTCATTTGCTACACATTAATATCATTGCAGTTGTAGCTGATTACAAGAAGAAGTTATTTAATGAAAAAAATGAAGATAAATTTTGTTTGCTATTAACTTTTACTATCAAGTGGAGTAAGTGCATTAAGATATATATATGTTAAACAGTTCATTCTTTGATCTATTCTTAGTCCATTCAGCAATAAAGTTCAAAAATTGTTCGTATTCACCAAGTTGTGCTTTTAATAGTCAAAAGATATGGGTTGATTATATTGTGCTAGTAAGTATAGCCTATCTATTAGATTTATATCTCTGAATTTTTTAGTTTATACAATGCCAACAATTGATCAATAATTGATAAATTAATCACTATTGTATTAAATTTTTTGTCTTGAAATTTGTAACTGTGATAATTTTGTTTTAGAAATTGCTCTCAAATTATTAATTTTGGGCAGTAAATTAATTCCAATACAAGAATCTGTTAAGAATAATTATTAGTATAACCAATAGAGCTTTAATTTATATTTTGAATTAAATTTGTGATACTTTATACTGATTAGTACAACGTAAACTGTTGTTTAATTTTTACTCTATTTTTGCCTGTAAATTGAAAACAGTTTAATTACATTGACTATTCCCCTTATAGGCATGTGTTGACAACTTCTCACAGAGAACACTGGCAGCATTAACTAATTCATTCACTGTTGAAGAAGCAATGTTTAATTTACCACATGAAGACACTTTTGTTGGCTCTGGAGGCCTTGAAAAACTGCTTAAAAAAAGCACAGTGCTCAATTTATTTATTTCTCTAAGGTAAAAACTAATTTAAATTGGTCTAGTAGGTTGTTCCTTTATTACTAGAAATATTGTTGTGCATATGAAGAATTGGATTAAGGATTGTGAAGATTTTATTAAACTTCTTTGTGAACTACCTCTGTCAATTCATACAAAAAATTCAGAAAACTACATAACTTTTGCTGTTGGAAAAAATAAATCTGAAATTCATATAATAGCAGAGGTAAAATTGAAATTTAAGTGCTGGCATTATGTTTTTGATAGGGATTCCACTATCTTGATGAGTTTATAGAATGTTTTTGTAGTGTCTTTATGTCAAAAGATCAAGTGTATGAAAAAGTCGTAACAAAATGGATAATATTTCTTTTAAATTTTCTAAAAATTGGAGACCATGATTTTTTGCCAGTTCTTAGGGAAATTGTTCACCACAGGCCTCATTTAAAATATTGTCCGTCATTATTGGCCGAGTTTTCTTCACAAGTGCATAAAATTATTTATATTTACTTTTTTACTATGATAATAATATAGGTACAAAGGAAAGGGAACAGCTGCTATCACACAATGTCATTATCATACTTTACAGATCTATCTAAATGTTTTAATGGAAAGCTGTGGACTGTTGAGGTACATGATGTACTAATTTTATTCTATTTTGTTTTATTAATGATCATAGATTGCAAATAATTTTTTTAAAAATTACATCAAATATTTAAGAAATGATTCTGTGCTGTCTAATGCTAGTTCTAGTTCTCTATCTCATTTTTCTGACTGGTAAAATTAAGTAATTTTGATTTTATAATTTTTTAGTTTTCGAGGTGCATTTGCTCATAAATTTTTGGTTGATTATTTGTTGAAACCAATTGCTGAGTCCTTTTCACAAAAAGGAATGGCTGAAAAGTTTGTGTTAGACTTATTCAGTTAGATGTCAAATGCCTTCTTAAAGCAACTAGTGAGGATGATAAAAAAACTGTTCAAAGTTTTACTGAATATCTTAAGTCTTACTTGGCAAAAAATAGAAGATATATTAACTTGTATAAAAGAGAAACATTTGAAAAAGTTGGAGTAAGCACTAAGTAGTACTTTAAAGTATTAAATTTAATTTTTATTTAGGTACTACTTAAATCAGTTAACAATTTTAACAAAATTGTTTTGGATATTGTTGCAGAGGTATGTACAAAGTCATCTAAATTTAAAATAAATATTATCTATATGTTCATAATAATAGGAAATTTATGTGCATGTATCATTTGACGAAAATGATAACCAGTGGCTGGAAATGCTTAGTATTTGTACTACCCAATTGGCAAATTGTATGACAAAGGAATCTAAAGTAAATTATTATCCTTCAAAATTTTATTGGAGAATTATTGGTGGTGTGAGTAAAAGAATGAAATCTCAGTCACTGGATTACCGTATTTTGAATGAGTTTTGTCAAATATATAAAAATTTTCACTCAATACTTGAATCACAAGAATCTGATGCTGACATTGCAGCCTACCTTTGTTTGATTAAAGAACTTAAAAAAACATTGATTTGTCAGCGGACAAATGTCAATGATAAAATTGTTACTTTTGATATGATTCATAGCTTGGCACAAAAAAATGATTGTGATAAGAAAGTTGCTGACAATTTTGGATTTAAAAATGCAGTTGCCAATAAAGAAACTTTGGAAGATGCAAAGCAAGAGTTCCTTAGCTGCCACAAAAGAATTTCTCAATTATTAATTAAAGTTCATCCAAGGAAAAATTGGTAAGTCAAAATATTGGTTTTGTAAACATTCATTTAACATTTACAGGGTAAGCTTAAATGAAATTTTACATAGCTATAAGGTAGTAATACCAGACCAATTGGAAAGAGGTATTAACAAGTCCTTTTACTTTCCTGATGAAAAGATTCACAATGCTGATGTGCAACAGCTACCATTTCAAGATTGTAATTCAACTGTTGTTTATCTTTATGTGCATAAGTCTCTGAAATTGAAAGAAATAGTTGATTTATGCAACCAGTTGGAGAATTTTTTGGCCCCTATTGAACCTTTTCTTTATTTTTTGGAACATTTTCATATAAGTGAGAGTCAAATTTTTCAAATATTTGTGAGGAAGGAAATGAATGATGCAAATTATTCTCAACATTTAGAAGTCTCAATTCAAAATTTTGCAGAAATTTTAGAATCTGTTAAAGAGAAATTTCTAAATATTCTGACTGGTGCTGCTGTATATGCTGACATAGCTAGTATTGCAAATTGTTTTAGTAAAGGAATGGGCATAACGAGAGAAATAAACATCATATCTGATTGCAAAGAATTTCAAAACACTCCTTCACATGATACAATTCAAAGTTTTAAAAATGTCTTTGTTCTTCATCAAATTGCTGAGCACATTGATGCATTGTATGACTTCTGTCATGATTTTGAATTGCAAAAATGTATGGCAGATGATCATTTCAAAAAATTGAGAGAAATTGTACTAGCAAGAAAATCTTGGCAACAAGAGAGCATTCGAAACCTTTGTAGTGTTTTTAATGAAATTCAAGAGCTTCTCGGTATTAAAAAAGTAAAAAATTTTAAAGAGTTTGCTTTTTTGGAACTCTTTCGGCCACTTTATACTCAAACAAAAGAGCTACGAGATTTCATGACTGAAAATAATTTTCGTGGAAAGGGAAAGGATCGTTTCTTAAAACTATTTGATCTTGTAACTCAAGCATGTCAACATGATGAATACAATGCAGAAGTTTTGAACCCTCTCTATGCTGTTTACTATGTCCTTGTCCA